TTTTTTTTTTTTTGCATAATAATATCCTTAAATTAAATTTGCAAGAGATGATAGATATCGTATAGATATTATTGATTTCTTTTTTTCTTAAGAACAAAATAAAATTTCAAATTAATTTATCGTAAATTTAAAAAATTTAAAAAGCAGTAAATCGATGATTGATCAGGTCGAAATGTAATTGTTTATCTGCAAATATTAATGTCAAATACCACCATGGTTGTCCAGTAGGATTAATTAGAGAATTTCGTGGTTGATACTTCCGGATAAAACTTTATGTTTATTTAGGATCGCATCGATGTTGCGCAAAATTTACTTCCCATATTAGTCTTTTAGTAATCCATTTAAGTATTTGCATGATAAATGTTCTCAGATAGATGAAATATTGAGTTGTTCAAATATGCGGGAGTAAACTCATAATCTGTAATATGTTCATATAGATGTATATGTACATATATATATATATATATATATGCCTATCGTAATAACAGCGATACGTCAGAGAAGCACAAATTTTCGACATACGTACACGTATACAAGATATCACAGATTTTAATGCTCAAACGTTGTCGGTATATTCTATAAGTCTAAATAAAAAAAAAAATATTTTATAAATATATAAATACAGGTGGTTTAAAATTTATTAAAAAGTTATGATAAAAATATAAAATGCGAATAAAACAGTAAACTCACGGTTATTGAGATTAGTATTAATTTATCTTTAATCTATTCGTGTCATTTAAAATAAAATAAAAATAAAATTTGCAATAATAAATTCTATTTTCAGTTGCTATCAATCTTTTATTTAATTATTATTATTTTAAAAACAAATATGTTAAATATTTTGAAATGGAAAATTAGTGTAACTTTCATTAATTAATTAATTAATCTCATATGTTAGTAGATCATAGATATAATTAATTAAAAATATGTTATTAACAATTTATCTTAGTGATAATAAAATAATAATGTTATGCTTGTTATGCAATATTGTTATGAAATTAACTATCTTTCTTTCACATTTTAATAAATAATAAAATACTAAAATTTTTTCAACTAATTAAACATAAATTATAATATATTTATAAATTTAAACAAAATATAAAAATTGTTTTTCTAACAACAAAATAAAATTTTAAATCTTTATAAAAATAACGAAAAGTATAGATTTTAGGATTAGATTAAAATAAAATTTATAATTAGATATAAAATTTAGACTCTAAAAAACGTATGTAGAAAAACTTTTTAAATTAATTAACATAAGTTAACTCGAACATTGATTTTGATTTCAATGCCTGATTTCATAACCTTAAATAACTTATATATAAAATACTGTTGCAATAAGTCTAATAAACAAACTTTAAAATATTTATTTAACATTTTTTCTATTAAATATATAAAATATAAAAACATAAAATCTTCATAAAAAAAAACATTTACTTGTCATATATTAGTCAATTTTTGATAAATGTTAATAATTCTTCTATTTCTATTCTATCTAATTCTCTTCTCTTCTCTTCTATCTAATTCTCTATAATTATGGCATCAGAAATAAATAATTAATATAGCAGTTTAAAATCACTTTCTTCCACCGTATATATTTTTAGGATAAAGCAATTTTATTAACAATTAGTCACTTATTATTTATTAATTTATCTCAATTAATTCCTATTTAAATAGTGATTTGTTTTTACATTATATCTGCTATTATTTCTTTCGTATTTCATATTTTTATTATAATTTTTTTAATAAAACTTTAAATCTATGTTTATATATAATTTTTCTTTTATTTAGATATATAAAATATAGATCGTTAAAATCTATATATTGAATTAATTTTTTTAATATTTTTATAAATTTACAATAAAATATTGATTATTCGATTGTACAACAAACCGAAGTTTGATTATACAATTTATCACAAAATAAATAATTTAAAATAAATAAAAAGATTTTTTTATTTCTGTATTGATTTTATTTTTTAAATTTACTTTGAAAAATTTATTTTAAAAATATAAAGTATAAGTTTAAATTGACAGTAATTCGGTAAGTTTCTGTAATTAAATCTTTTATGCTAGATATTTCTAATATATAATATATATATATAATATATAATATAATAAACGACAAAAATTTTTTTAAAAGTTTTGTT